AAGTTAAATATGATTATAACCAACATTAGTTAGGTTTACCATTTCAAGCATGATGCTTCCCACATCTCCAACAACCTGCTGTTCCCGCCTGCAGACTTTCATTATATTGTTAAAATTACTGTGGATCTTCAACATCTCTTCCAAATTAGGAAACAGAAGATACAAATGATCTTGGGTTAAAAGTTGTTCCTGTTGAATGGGCTTGAAAAACAGCTTATCCAGCACTTTAAGGTTTCGTACATGCGTGCGTTCAGTATGAAAAAGTTCTGAAATAAACATATAATTCACCCACTTAAAAAAAAACTAACGTTTTATAACAAAAAATACTTAACTGCTAAATAAGGTGAAATAAATTACTTTTTTTCAAATATATAGATATATATTTTTTAGCCAAATGCTGCAAAATTTAAGATACTCAAAAAAAATATTAAATTACAAAAGAAATAATACAAAAATTATGAATAAAGGCATTTTAAACAAGTACTATGAAATGCTCTATTACAATACAGATATAAATGGAATAAAACTGAATATTCTATGTATGTACGTAATTATATTTATAAATCTATTATACTTCTTTCCAATTATAAGTTATTATTCTAAAGTAGCAACAGATACATTTCTACATAGAGTATTTTCCTTGACAATATTTTAAGTAACCCTTGTATATATGTATGCTATATTTTCCTTGACAAATTTTAAGTAACCCTTGTATATGTATGCTATATTTTCCTTCACAATATTTTAAGTAACCCTTGTATATATATGCTATATTTTCACTTAATTAAACAAACATATTACACTTTCAGAACCATAAGGAGAACAAATATAGTAAAGTATTCAAAAGGCTATAAAGTTAGTCAAAACACAGGTAAAATAAACAGTAACAGCACAACTAGTTCTGAAACACATACATCTTAGTCAATACACGATAGGAAATTATACCATTTTACTGCACAGATGAAAGCATTCAGGTATTTGCAATGGTAATAATGTAATATAAAACATAAACATGGATATTACCATTTATCACATCTTGACGTTTTTTTTCTTTGGGCTTCATAAGACGTATCACATTAATATTCACATTTTCTTGCCACTTAGGTGGATCATTTTCTGCATCCAGGTCTGAATCATCCAACTGATGGAAGTTGGACGAGGACGATGAAGGAGGAACAGTGGACGGTGATGGACCAGTGGAAGGAACTGAACTTGAGGCTGAATCTGTAGGTGTGCCTCCAGGAGTTTTGTGCACCATTTCTACAGAGATGCTCGGACTGTCAAGACTTCTAATAAGAAAAGCATTCAGCTTTAATGTTTTCTATGGAAAAATAAGATGGAAATCTAATATTAATGGTAATTCAATTAAAAAGCCACACTGACCAGGATATCCAGACCTCCACTATAAATGCTGTGTAATTATTCCATTACAGTGTTATTCCCTTACTTTCCCAAATCTACACAAATATCATAAAACTTACACCAGATTACCAGATGATAAATATGTTGACATCAGAAATGGAACTATACGGATTAATTTTGTTTGAATATGTAAACTACTGCTTTAATCTCATTTGATAGTTGTAGATTACATCAATTTTATATTAAAACATTTTAGAATATAAACACAGAATGTGTTTGCACAACAAAAGCTAAAAAAAAAAACCCACCATTGTCATGACTTTTTTTTTACATTCTCCTCACATTATAGCTTATAATAAACAAGAATTAGACACATTTAACTGTGATAATTTCAAACTGACCTTGTTGACAAGCTTGAATTAGATGAGCTACCTGAGTTGTTGAGGTCAGACGTATTTTTTTCATCTACTTCTGCATCACTAGAAACATTAAGGAAAAGAAGAAATACAAAAGCTGTTAAAGTGGATTAAATTTAATTTTAACAGAGAAAAGAACTGTTATTTAACCCTCTCCAGACGGGTCACATGTCAAAGGCCATATCATAGTATTTGTTGACTCGTATTCAAAATTTTATTGAACTACTATTTCATGAATTTATGTCAATAAGTTTGGTATCAAATTTTAGTATTATACATTATGTAATTTCTTAATTTAAAAGTAAATATTAGAAAAACACAGTTAAACATCGATTTTTGTGTGTCACATTGTATGTTGAATGCAACACTTGTTTCAGATTAGATGATTGTGATGTCAAAATACTAAGTCTTTAGTTTCATACAAATTAGTAACTCAAATTACCTATATTCACAAGCTAGAATATAAAATAAGAACCTCATATATTTTCTATTTACTGAGATATCACTCATGTACTGAGTCAAATACAGTGGCCCCGCTAACCTTTTTCCATTTTTGGAAACAGTCCCTTATATACATTAACTTCAATATATGGCATGTGAATAACCAATCAAAAGATCAGAATGTCCCCTAGTGACTTTCTCAACCATTTCCATGTGTTAGGATGCCATCTCGTTATTTCGAACCAAGATTTCAAGAAGGTAGGTTGTGTCATATTTTCTTAGACCCAAATACAGCTTAGTTACTAAACTTGATAAATTACAGTGGAATTCTATGTTATCTATATAGTAATTTATGATTTTTTGGTTATTCAACCGTGTATATAAAACCTAAAAAAAAATTACTTTGTTTCATATCCTCCATATACGAAATTTTAAAAGGCTTAACAACCTATGTCAAGCAGCAACCGAGTACAAAGGTCATAACTAGTAGAGATAATAGTTTGCTTTACATCTTTATTTACTGTTCTATGTTTTAAGAAAAACAAGTTTAAGAACTTATTTCTCAATAGTAATCTATATACATATATAATGTATAACAACTAAAATTTACATTTATTTCCTAATTTTTTATGGTGGTTACAAGAGCGGTCAAATCTACCAAACCCATACAGATATTCGTTAGTGAAAATAACACATAAAATATAATTGTTTTTCTTAAGAAATGTTTGATAACTATCTGGACATTTTATGGATTTCGCATGTGAAATTTGAAACTTTTCTGATGCATAAAAGTGTTTTTAATCTTCAAATAAAAATTACTTTGCATGTTAGATAGACAACATGCAAAAAGAAAAAAAAAAGGCATGATAAAAACACTGCTTAACAAACCTTAATAAGACTTAATTTAAAAAATTTGACATTTTGTGTATGAAAGCATTGTAATGTTTAACGATAATCAGCCAAATTTCGTTAACATATGCTTACTAATTTAGAATTTATAGCATGAAAACTGTAACAAGCACAGAATGGTTATGAGGTCAAGTCCCTGGGGCTGAGATCGTGCTGAAAGAGTTAAATGCATTTCACATTATAACTTTTAAACACTTATACCATAAGATCAAACATACAGTTGGTGTGACCATGCTTTTTGGAATAGTAAGTTTATTTATTATTACACCATAAGATATTGACCTTTTTGACCTTGGAATATTTGGATCACTTCGTTTTCTTATAGGTACTCTGTTTTCTCTCTGTGAAATAGAAATATAAAACAGAAACTGGTATAAGTAACTATCAGTTCTCCAGGAGTAATTCTCTGGTGTATTTGTACAATAAAAACAGTGTCCAACCAGTAACTAAATGTACATTTTGTTCTACTCATAATTTATGTTTACAGACTTTTTTTTATTGCATAATCAATTCAAACTCTATTAGAAAATACTTTTATGTCACGCTACGTACACTTACTTTGACATTCAATTTTAAAGACTATTATTGCAGATAAAACCAATACTTAAAATGATGAAATGGGACTTTCTCTTTCATGATGTCAAAAATTAATTATAAACAGAAATAATTATAGTTGTGATAAAAACTACCACCAAACTGGTTAAATTGATACATTTACACAAACACAGATTTAAAGTACAAAGTAATGAGGTCAGGACACTTTAGTTATAAACATTTCTTTGACTTACAACCCAGAGACATAGAAAAGTTTTAAAACATAAACATGCATATCTTGAAAAATGACTGTATGAACAAAATTATTTTAACAAAACAAGACTATAAAAAAAATATAGGCCAATCATTTTACTCAGTGTTACATTAGATGACACCACCACTTAGATGAAGTATTACAATATATAAACAGCAATATAATTTACTTTCTTTATGTTTCACCAAGACTTTTTGTGTAAGGTAGAAATTAATTTTTTGTTGCTTACTCGTAGAGTATAATATCAGACAAAAAACCCAACTACACAAGATCTTTCTCAATAAAACATAGCCTTCAGTAAAATAATTTTAATTTATAAGTAAAAAGGTTGTGTGCGTCATATTTATTTTCCTCATGGTGTGTTAATTTCCGTACTTAGTTGACGAATTATTAAATGTTTAAAATTGTATTACGTGACAACTTACAAGTTTGAGGTTTGAAAAGTGGCACTTTGGGATTAAACTGAGTTCATTAAGAAAATTATAATTATTCAAGTTAAACATAGTTATTTAATAAATCAAAAATGTATGCTGTCTTTCAAATTAAAAGGCTGAATACTGTTCTCGTATTTCTTGCTTACGAGTCTACCACTATAAATTACAGAACAATATGGCAGTGTAAAACCGTACGTAATACACTGTAAAAATGAATTACACCAGATATTCTTGAATGATTATAAAACTAATAATGTCATGCCTCAATATACTATCTATCGCATTATAAGATTTATTGCTATTCTCATATAAAACTATAAAACAATATGGAAGTACAAAACTCAATGTAATAAATTATAAAGACTAATTACCTCAGAAATGATTGTATAATTAATAATGTTATGCCCCAATTTCTAAAAGTTAGACAAAAGTATTTAAATAAATTTAATCAATGAACAAAAGTTCAAGGAACTAATACTCATGTGATATCTAATTTCTCAGATTATGTTTTGATTGAAATTGAAAGTGTTAGCACACAGTTTGAAGTTCAGAATACGAGTTTGAAAATTATTTGTTGCCTTTTTTAAAAATGATTAGAAGTTACAAAACACAAAATAAGGAACCGTCTATTATTTTCTAATGATTATAATTCAAGGTATAAACTGCATAATCTCAGGAAAAAGGAACTGACTGCAATAAGAAACCTAAATAAAAATCATAACACCATTATCTTTATGTGGTTTCAGTATATTTATTTAACTAAACAGATTATATTTCTAAGACTAGTACTATCTTAAATGACAATACCAAGTCTTGAATGTTTATACAGAGAAAGAAATTTACTGAATTATTTATTAAAATTAAAAAAAAACACACGAGAATGTTCATTGTAAAAATGCACTACACTGCAGCAAGTTCTTTTATCACAAACATTAGACCTATTGTACAGACATGTGGAAATGTAAATTTTATATATTCCCAGGATTAACTGTACAGAAAAATAAAGCCTTCAGTGTCAAAATCATATTGACTAATTCATTAGAAAATCAGTTATTTTATAGAAAGGAGTACATGAGTGACAATAGACAATGCCTCATATAAAAACAGAAATAATGATTGATGTTTATACAGCAAAATACCAATCTGAATGGAACATCAGGTCATTTATACTTCTTTTATTTAACTAGGAAGTTGATGAAATAATTGAATGATATTTAGTATACTAGTCTTAGATTGTAAATAAGTATGCAAGTGAGATTGGGGATTTGCATTCCGTCAGGAAAGTAATTTCTGTTCGTTTTAAACTCACTTGTAATGTGATTGAAGTAATTTTTGAAATGTTTCTTATTTATCAAGTATTAAGTTTCAGACATGTAAAAGAAAAAATATGATTTGAAAAAATAAATAAAAAAGATTTAAAATATATGATACAAGTTGAATGTTTTTTATGGTTACTTATAGATTAAAACTACATTTGACCACCGTTCTAGACTCAAGTGATGATAGATTTTCTGAAGTACTAAGAAGATCACGTGAAAAGATTTGTTCTCGGACAAAGTTCTACTGTATTAACCTTCTGTTATATTACACAATGGATACCGGTGTTTGTATGTGAAGAGTTTGTACCGTTAAGACAGTTACATGGTCATTACAAGTAACTGTGGAGAAGTATGACATCAACTTCCTGCCACTTTATCTTATATTCGCAAATAATCAAGAACAAGCTTGAAAAATACGTTCTGTTTATATTTGGTTTAACATTCATAAATACTCAAGCTTTAATGTCAACTTCCATTCCCGACCCCCTGTCCTTTTAAGAAGTAAAATTATGAAATTTTTAATGCAGGTACCTATATTTCTGATGGCTATAACTATAACCTTACTATAGAACACTTAACATCTGATCAAAGTGGTGCTTTAAAACATCATTCAGCTGAATACTATTTTGGTTACTCTGTGAAACAATATCTTTATTTACATAATTAATAATTTGTTTTTGGTCGATTCCTTAAGTCACTTCTTGAAAAGTTCTTTTATGATACAAAAAATTTCATTAAATATTAAACTAATGTCAAGGGCATAATTCTAAACCCACAAAAACTTACAAACTTCACAGAAATATATACAATGAAACAAATATATCAAGGTCAAATAATCAAACTTTTAAGTTTCATAAAACTGGGCTAACATTAGAAAAACAAACACTTTCAGAGTGATAAATAACAAACTGATCAACCATAAAAATGTATTTTAAATTAAAAAAAAACTGAACGATCTGAAGAAAACTGTGGCACTTAGTATTATTTTCTGTATTGTTATAAAAAAACCACAAGCTGGAAGTTGGCCATCAAAACTAATACTTGGTGTAAATCAAAGAATATTGCAAACCTGTAGAGAGAATAATATTCCATGCCCAAATATCAGTATTCCAGTTTTCTATAGATTAGAATAATATTCCATGTGCAATGCTTTTTATTCTCTCCAGTTTACCTATCGCTACTATAGTTCCCGATACCAAACCTCTACGAAACAAAATGAATTCTAACTGAACTTCAATGACGTCAGTAAGACGTCAGACGCTTGGTCTCAACGTAAATTCTATCATGCACATGCGTTATTGAAACTACACTTTACAATGTGGGATGAATTATCTGTCAAGTTAATGAGTACTAAAAGTGGCCTGAAAAAGGAAAATAAAAAGGAGGGGGTGTACATGTGTTTGTTACTAGATAACAGAACTACAAATATAACATCCACCGTGTTAAATTTATTGATTTATGTGGAACTACCCAAAATCTTGATTAGAAACGTAACTTTCAAGAACAATGCTTATTATAAAAACACTTAAACCACTTAAGTAGCCAGAAAGTTTTTGGCACTGAGGTAAAAAATACAAATATCACTAAGTTACAAACTTAGTTTTTTGATAGTGACTTCGTGTTTACTTAGATTCAGTTTATCTGATGCCATAATTCTTTGAACGTACCCAATTTTTAAAAGAAAAGAGACGGGTTATAACGCTTAACACTTATACATTCACTGATTCCCCCCACCCCCACAAAAATCGTTGGATTTATACAAATTGCATGACCTAATTACAGTGTAATTACGCTAGTGACTTTAAAAAGCGTCCGAAGTTATGTTGCTACACAACATTAAAAGTACTGGCAAAAGTGTATTAATTTTTTTATTTTGTTCTCAGGCTTATTACAACATTGCACCGGTATTCCACATTAGGAAGCTCTGGCTGGAAACCGGCAATTTTGCTATTCGTAATAGTTTTTAACCTATCGATAGAGTTCGTTGTGTAGAGAGAAATGAACGTTACATTTTGAGAGTATATCCCACCGAAACATGTCTAGTTCTTATTTGGATAATTTAGAAACTTCATTAGAACGATTTACATAAGAAATACAGCGACGTTTAGCTGCGTATGTGAGACGTTCTACGTGGGTGAGCTGGTGAACAATGTTTAATTCTAGAACCATTACACAGTGTATTCGATTTCTATTACAGCATTTTCCGAGGCAAGACACTGGTACAGTGAAAGAACAAACAGATGAAAAGCCCAGGACAAACAAATTTCAAATACGACTATCTAACGCATTATGACAATAGTCCACTATCTGCAGGATTTCCGTTATCATTATTGCTACGATTGGTCGTCACCTATAAAAGGGATTGTTACAACATACTGTTACGTCTCCGTTTCTTCATTGATTTTTCCGTAACTTCGTTCCGACGAAACTTTAACGACACAAGTCTTTACTTAATAAAACTGGTTTATTCTTTCCGAATATAACTTTACGATACA